ACTCTCTCTTTAAAAAAAAAAAAAAAAAAAGAAATAATGAGGGGCTTGGGACAGATGTCCAAACACTTTGAGGTCAGGTGCCCTAGAAACAAAGCAAAGACAATGATTTTTATTCAGATAATTTTTCTAGGAGGAGGAGATGTTTCTTGGAGAAAAGTAGGACAGGGCAAAGGAAAAAATGTGGATGGATCATGGGATTTCAGCTGGAAGTCGGCTGATCCCATGGGAGCAGACTTTGCACTACAAAGTCACACCTGCTGTGAGGGGGTCTTTTCATACCCTCCTGCCAACCAGTGGTGCCTGAGGTGTCCCCTGATTGAGGGGAGGAGTGGTGTGTGGCTTCCAGACAGGTGGGTCCCTTTAGCTGAGAGTCATTGGGCCCAGAAAAGGAAGCTCTCTACTATCAGCCTAAACAGCAACGGTGGCAGATGCAGGGTGATAGGTGTAAGGCTGGGAAAGAGACACGCACCACATTACAGGCTTGAAGAAACAAATGTTACAATCAGCATCAGTAACGGACATGCAGAGGTTGCACCAGGACTGTGAGTTATGGGGCAGGGGGGAAATCGTCAGAGCTCTGCTTCAGGGACTATTTCCTTTCCTTACTCAGAAGCACAGGGACTATTTTTATGGTTTTAATCATTAACATATTTTTTTTTCAACTGGGGCAGTTTTACAACCAGAAAGAAGAGACAGATAAAATAGAAGAGTAGTGGGAGCCCAAGGATTGGGGTTGTGAAGATTCTGACAGTTAGGCTCAGAGAGCATATGGAAGGGGTCTGGGGTGGGCTGGAGGGGCTTCAGTGTCCAGCAGGATGGAGCAGGTCCTGGTGATGAAAATAGCTAGTGTATGACCCCTGGGGTGGGCTGCTACAGGAGAGGCAAGGCCAGGTCAGGGAAGCGAGAGCCATCCACATGGATGGTGCTGGTGGCACTCAGGGTGGACAGGGAGGCGGGGTGCAGAGCACCTGTGGCCCTATGGTTCGGAAAGGGGAAATACAGGTGTAACTCTCCAAGGGGACACTGGAGGCAAAGGAAGGAAGAAAGGCTTGGAAAAGCAAGATTAGGGGGCAGGCAAGGAAAGGGGACCTTGCTTCCCCATCCCAAGGTGGTGGTGGCTGTTCCTGGAGAAGACAGTTGTGGGACATAGTTGTCCTCAGGGCAAGGCCAGGTTTCTCTGTGAGAGAGGGCCACAGAGGAAAGGCTTCAGAAAAGAACAGGGGGCGCCTGGACAGAGCTATGCAATGAGACAGAGAGGGCCACAGAGAAAGGACAGGGAAGACAGACTGATAGGGATGTTAAAATACGGAGCATTATTGTCAACGCAAGGATTTCATGCCGTTTTATAAAACTAACGTCTCCATTTCATTGGCATCCAGGGTTTATTTTATAACTAAGTGTTAACTCTTTCTACACCTTACTCATTTTGCATATTTCTCAGTGACAACTAAAAAACCAAAAAAACCCCACAAAGCTAATTGCATACTACATTGAGTTTACTTAAAGAAATATAATAAGAAAAAAAAAAAAAGAAAAGAAACTGAGTATGGAGAGTGGCACCAGCAGGATCCACACCTAAGGCTGCTCTTCTTCAGGCCCATGCTGTTGTCTAGCAACAATGATAAATCTTCACACCCTGCTGAGATCTAGACTAATCCAAATGCTGTTTCTTTTAATGAACTAGCAGAGCCAGTAGGGATGCCCCAGCGTTGGCAGGAAAAACTGGAATTTGGAGGTCTAATTTCCTATGAAGTTTTGTTCTTTAGTAATATTCTTTTCCTAAGATTAGGGAGGTTTTTGGATATTTACACATTATTGGTAATTAGCACAGGGTGTAGTGCATTCTAGACTTAATAAGTATTTATTGAATGAATTGAAATAAGTGTTTTAAATTAATGGACAGAATACATGAGAACAAATGTGGTTTTGTGGTGTGTGTGTGTGTGTGTGTGTATGAGAGCCACATGCTCCTTTTTCTGGTCCTTTTCTAGCAAGACAGTTTTCATTTTCTTCTTTGCACATGGCATCCCAAAGTAACTGCAAAACTAGCTTCATCATGGAGAATGGCTTGTCAGGACACGACTCTGTTCACCTGTGGTAACTCAAGTATGCCTTTAATTCATGTCTTCATCAGACTATATAAACCAGTGGTTCCCAACCTTGGCTGCATAACCCAGTCACCTGGGGTGATACAAATGTGGATGCCTGCTTCCCATCCCAGAGATGCTAGCTCAGGCAGTCTGTTTTTTTTTTTTTTTTTTTTTTTTAAGTTCCCTGGGATATTTTAATGTCCTTCCGAGGTGCAAAACAAATGCTTTAAACAGTTATTTCCAGAGGGTCCCCAGTATCACCAGGAATGAAGGCTCCCTCCGGCCCCACCCTTCGGTCATAATTCACTTGACCTGGATATTCTATTTCTATCCTTTAGTCCTTGTTTGGTTTCAAGCTCCTGCTTTAATTCTTGTTTTGTTCTGTGATTTATTTGGATCTCTTTATGCTCAAGCTCCCAAAAAAGAACTTCTACATATAATCCCAGCTGCTCGGGAGGCTGAGACAGGAAGATTGCAAGTTCAAGGCCAGTCTCAGTAAACTGAGTGAGGAGGCCCTAAGCAACTCAGTGAGACCTTGTCTCAAAATGAAAAATAAAAAGGGTTGGCCACTGGGTTAAATCCCCAGCTACCCCCTGCCCCCATTCCCCCCATTTTTTTTCCTAAAGGATTTTGGAGTTAGAATTTAAACTACTCATTCCCTCTGTGTCTAAAGTGCATACTCTGTGAAGTATAGTTGATTCACAGCTGCTCACAACTTCAAGTGAATGACTTCATGGCCAAGAATGAAGATGTAAGGAATTAAATCCTCAGTTTTGTCATAAACCTTGCATGCTATTTTTATTAGGGAAATTATCATTGAGAAACCAAATGTCGTTTCACTGGAAATACAAACTGTAATGACTAGGGAGAGGCAGAGACAAGAGCTATAAATGAAGGATCTGAGCTGCTCATTTCACATAAGCTTCCTAGTTCCTTGTGCAACCACATCAGTCTCTCCAAGAGCCAGGTAAGTTCTTCTTTTAGCTAACTTAAGACTTCTGTGTTTTGAGAATATGAATGTTTATCAATTTGAAAGAAGTACTTTTTATTGTGCATAGGCTTTTCTTTAGGCGGCTTTATTTAATTCTGGCCTACATGACCATAACAACGTATCTTCATCTTATTTTTTTTTTTAACAATACTTTTATTTTATTTATTTATTTTTATGTGGTGCTGAGGATTGAACCCAGGGCCTCACATGTGCTAGATGAGCGCTGTACTGCTGAGCCACAATCCCAGCCCTCTTCATCTTGTTTAACCTAAATTAATTCATTTTATTTCTGAGTAAAACCTATGAGGAATTCCTATGGAAACCTGAGGTTGATATTGAAGACAGAACAGCTTTCATAGGATGCCTTAGCAGAGATAAACCTCTCAGCTTCCCAAAATATGTGCATTAATTTATTTTGCATTTATTTTATTCTTGTTTTCGGATTCTTCTTAAAGCCTTTGTTAAATAGTTATAAAGTTGTTGGTGATTAAGAAATGTAAAAAAAAAGCATGTTCTACTTTTTTATTAGAGAAATATTAGTTGATCTTTAGAAATTTTTATTATTTTTTGTGCTGGGCATGGAGGTGCATGCATAATCCTATATTCAGGAAGCTGAGGCAGGAGGATCCCGAGTTTGAGCCCAGCCTGGGAAACTAAGCAAGACCTTATCTCAAAAGAAAAATAAAAAGGGCAGAGTACCCTGGGATTCCATCCCCAGTTCTGAAAAAAATAAGTGAGATAACAAAAGTAATATTTACCAAACAAACCTGAAACTACACAGAAAAAAAAATCAAATAAAAAAAGAAAACCTCCCCACTCCACCTAATCATCCACTCCTAGAGATGTCTCATTGACCTTCAGTGAAAATTTTACCCAGAGTCAAGTTTTCCTGGAGCTGGGGGTTTAAGAGGATGCTGTTCTCTGGGCTGGATTCTGGCTCAGTGGAGAGACAGACAGCACCAGCCCCAGGCAGGAGTCCTGGCTTGGTTGTGGTCCAGGCTGCTTGAACTGGAGGCCAGTGGGGGTTCCTCTGCCTCCTGGACCCTGTGTTGCTGCCCAGGCCGGGCCTGGGAGGAGAGAGCTGGGTTTGCCTGGAGGAGCCAAGCAGGAGGAGGGAGGAGGCGGTGGGCGGCAGAGCAGGCAGGTTCCGACAGAGAACAAGACAGAATTAAACCATTAAGGCGTTAATTGGGAGCGACTAGATGGTGTCAGGCTCCAGATGACTCACATCTTCCATCAGGAGAGGCCGACAGAAGGGTAAGAAGGAGCCAGCCATGACCTGGACCCAGAGGGTGAAAATCCCCATTTTCTGGGTCAATGCAGGGAGAGTTCCCGTGGCACGCAGCAGTTCAGTCCACTGACTGCTGTCGCTGTTCTAGATCTCACGGAAACCCAGACCGCCATGGAGTCACTCAGTGCCGCAAACATTCATCTGGGCCTTAATCTTCTCAAAGAAATGAGGAAAACGAACGATGGCAACATCTTCTTCTCCCCCGTGGGCATCTCAACTGCCATTGGCATGCTCCTCCTGGGCACCCGAGGAGCCACAGCCTCCCAGTTACAGAAGGTAGGGGCTGCCTTTGCTTTCCACGCACAGCTTGTGTCTGGGGACCCGCCTTTGAGAATCACCTTGAAAACACGCTCATCTCGACCTGTAAGCCAGGAGCAGAGCCTGTGAAGACAGGGAGGAATTTCAGGTCCGTCAGGGAAGTTCTCTGCCCAGATGCCATCACGCCATCTGCCCCTTGATGCTTGACATTCCTTTGGGTGGGGGCTGCGTGAGTGGCCTGTCCAAGTCACTACTCTCATAATTAAAGATAGAACTTGAAAAGCAAAAAGTATTGGGAGAAGTGACATCATCACCACCTGACATAAATGACACCAAAGACCAAAGCAGGAACAGACGTGCAAAGGCTGCTCTGAAGGGGTCAGGGGCAACCTAGACCTTCTTATGACCTTAGCAAGGGGGTAAATGTCACCTGTATCCATGGAGGTCTTTTAAACAAGCATCCACTTTCCCCTGACTGATTGTGAGGTTTTCTCGGTTCTGACCACTGCAATATTTTCTCCCTCTCAGGTATTTTATTCTGAAAAAGACACAGAAATCTCCAGAAAAGAGGTTGAAGAAAAAGAGGTGGGACACATGCTCTTTAATCGTCAGTTTGGTTACTTATTAGGTGTGGGATCACTGGGGAAAAAGGCCCGGGAAAAGCATGAGAGAGGAGACATTTCACACTTATTATTATCAAGCCATAATAATCACTGTAGGTAAATGATGTTGCTAGCTGTATTCATCCATTTTCTGTGGTCATAACAAAATACCTGAGGCTGAATATGTTATAAAGAAAGGAATTTCTTTATTTAGCTCGCAATTTTAGAAGCTGAAAGTCCACATTGGGTGGCTCCATCTGTTTGGCTTCTAGTGATAACCCCTTCGATGCATTACAATGAGATGGATAAGGAGAATAGAAACAGTTGCATGCAGAAAGGACCAAGTTTGCAGGCTGACCTTGCTTCATAATCACCCGCTCTCAAGAGAACTAGCATTGATCTTTTCTGAGGGCAGTGCCTCAAGCAGTCTAACCACTTCTCACTGGGTCTCTTCAGTGCTCCACCACCTCTTAATATCACTAAGTTCACTAAGCCTTCAGCTCGTGAACTCCTAGGGGACAAACCACTTCAGAGCCAGCACTAGATTATACAACAACAATAGACACTTAGTGTTAAGAAGAAGCATTAATGAACAATGACCTCCGCGAGCACTATTGGGCTGAAGAGCCCTCAGAGCAGAATGGATGGGTTTTAGAATTAAACATGTTTGGGTTCAAGTGCTGGCCCAGGCACTTAAGAACTATGCTACTTTGAACAAGTCATTTATCTTCTTTGGCCCTCTGAGTAGTACCAGTAGAGGATCTGGAAAACACTGGTAACTCACCAGTGGTGGTGGTAGTAGCAGGTGATTATATCACTGAATTTCATTCATGTTTTGGAATTTCTGATATTTTATTTAAAAAAAATATTAGCACAGGACCATTGATCTCCTGGAGTCTCCGCCAGCTTCAGTGTTCTACCATGCCTTGCCCAGTCTGCCCAAGTATGGGGAAGGGATGGTGGCCATTAGGTCAGGGATGGTCAGAGCTATCCGGAAGGGCACGACTGCTCTGGTGGCAGTCGGTAGTCCAGCTCTGTGCCCTCTGAAAATCCCCTCAAATCAGCAGCAGTAGGAGCTGTTCATTTCATAATCCCAAAAGGCTAGGTTGACTGTGTGCCTCGTTTGCAAGGACGGAGAGTCAGGCTTTCCTCCAGGGTTTGCTCAACAGGGTTAGGTCAGGCGGCTGATAGGCTGTGCACTCAGCTGAGGCCTGCAGTTGTTTCCAGAGCACATTCCCCCCCAGCACCGCAGTCCCTGGAGAGTCTTTATGTCAATTAGGCAAAGACACGTTGCCTTGAGAGATGCCCCTCTCCATGGTGAAGGGCTTGGTGGCTGGTGGGAGTCGGATCCCAGGTTGGTGTGGACCCAACCCGTACGACCCTGTGAGGCAGCTCTGTCCCTTCTCCAGGATTATTTCGGGAGCCACAGAGGTATGTGGAAGAGTGGAATTGCTGATCGAAAGGATATTAGGACAGGAACACATAGTAGGGGCCATGGCTCTGATCTCTTGAATAGATGGAGAAACAGATAAGCAAAGTGATTTGCCCAGAGACAGGCTTGACTATACCATTTGATTACCACATGAAGTCGGAGTATTCTGAACCTTGCTTTTAAACACTGATGATAAAATCTGAAGACGTATTTACAAAGGCATAGGGAATGATCCAAGTAACACCCTCTAATTCCACCTCCCAGTATAAAAAACAGACTATTACTAAATTCCCTGGTGCCTCCTAAGTACCTTCTCTGAGCACAGCCCCTGGTCTCCTGAGAGGGGAGTTCTGCTGCCTTGAATTAGGTGTTCATTATTCCCATATACTAGTGATTTCATCGCATGTAGACTTTTTTTGTTCATTATTACTTTGAATAACTTGTTTTGGGTTCAGCATTACGTCTACAAGATTCGACTAGATTAGGTGGACACTTGTAGCCCCAGTTGATTCATTTTCACAGGTCTTTATGATTTGTTCTACTGATGGGGACTGACTTCCTTCCTTCCTCCTTTCCTTCCTTCCTTCTTACTGTAAACGACGCTGAAGTGACCCTTGTCAGCTCCCTGGTTGGTCAGAGTGAGGGTTTGTCTAGTCCTGAGCTAAGCCGAAGTGGGTCATTCAAGTGGCTGTTGAACACCTGAGATGCATTTAGTTTGAATTGAGATGAACTCTAGGTGCAAAATACATGTGGGATTTGAAGAGCTTAGTATGAGAAATGAATTATTGATTTATATACGTATCATCTGAAAGTAACATATGATATTTATTGTATATTAATATGCAATTAATTTCATATAATTAGTTACATGTAACTGACAATATGCAATTGACACACAATTAGTAATTATATATTAATCAATATGTAGTTGATATTTTGTACTGTTTTAGAACACTTTTGTCACCTAGGAAAGAAATGCCCAAACCATGAGTAGTCAGTCATTCTCCATGGGTCCCCCACCCCATCACCTAATCTCCACCCTGGGCAGTCACTAATCTACTTTCAGTGTTCGAACATTTGCTTATTCAGAACATGTTTTTTTTTTTTTTTTTTTGCATTCCTCCTCTCTAACTATAATTTCATATCCTTTGTCCAACATCCCTCTTTCCTTTCCTCCCCTTAAACACCTAAGCCATTCTACTCTCTACTTCTGTGAGAGCAACATTTCTGAATTCCACATGAGTGAGATCATGCAGCATTTGTCTTTCTGTGTTTGTCTTATTTCACATAATAGTCTCCAGGTTCTTTCATATTGTCATGAGTGACAGAATTTCATCCTTTTTATGGCTTAATAGTATTTCACTGTGTATATATACCGTGTATTATTTATCCATTCATCTGTTTCTTCTTACTTTCAGAAACATGGTTACTAGAGAATTTAAGATTATATATGGGTCTCACATTTGTGGCTTGCCCTATATTTCTATTGAATATAATGTGAACCTGAGCAGTACAGTGTTTAGTTTTATTAAATATTACCAAATTGTTTGCCAAGGGGATTGTACCATACTTATTCTTCTCAGCAGGGTATACAAGTTCATTTCATACGATTGTCCATGGAGATTGGGACTTAAAATCCCCCTGACCATACAGTTCCCAGTCATCTGTAACACATATCTACATTATCTGTCTCTACTGGTGTTCATATGACTTTTGCCTTGTTAATGAACAGAATTTCTAATGTCATGACATTGTTCAGTTGTGAAATAACCAACTTGGTCATGGTATTTTAAAAATTATACATTGTTGGATTGAACTTGCTAACATTTTGTTAGGAGTTTATAAATGACATCATTTGGCAACATTTTTATTGTATTGTTCTTGTTCAGTTTTGGTATCAAAGTAACACTAGATTCTTAAAATGTGGATTCTTTCCTCTTTTTCTGATCTCTGAAAAAAAATTATATAATTCAGAAATTCATCTAATTTCTTGGGTAGAATTTGAATTAAAACTCTTGGTCTAGTTTTTTTTAAATTAGAGAATTTCTTTAATCAGACATATTTTGATTCCCTTCTCATTTTTCTTTTTGTGCATTTTATAGATTTTTTTAAAGGGTAATATTTTATTGTATGGATACACCACATTTCTTTATTCATTCATTCGTTGATGTATATTTGCATTGTTTCTTTTTTTATTAGTTGCTCAAAACATTACAATGATCTTGACAGATCATATATCATACATTTGATTCAAATGGGGTATGAATTCTTAATTTTTCCATGTGTACAGATTGCAGGATCACATTGGTTATATTTTCTTTATGGTCATCATTGCAATTACTTTGCAATTACATTACAACAATCTATCATTTTAAGCTGATAACCACTTAACTTCAACCACATGTAAAACTGTTCCTTTACATCTCTGTCTCTTCTTTAGTGTATCGATGACACAATTTACCTCTTTTTATATTGTGTATTTATCAACAGATTTATGATTAATTTTATGCTTAAAAAATTCCACATCACATTTAAAAGTGGTTTGTGCAGATATATTTTGATGCTATAGGATCTTACATTTATATATTAAAGTTTATGTTTTCATATGGTTTGTTGCTCTTTATCATCCTTTCACTTAAACTTGAAAGACTCCATTCTGCATTTCTTGTAGGCCAAATCTGATGGTGATGAAGTCCCCCAGATTTTGTGTATCTGGGAATGTCTTAATTTCTCCTTTGTTTTTGAAGGACAGTTTTGCTGGAGATAGTATTCTTGGTTGATTTCTTTTAATATCAAATATATCATCCCACTCCTTTATAGTCTTGAAGGTTTTGCTGAAACATCCTCTTGTAATTGAATCAAAGCTTCCTTATATGTTACAAGTTGCTTTTCTTTGGCTGCCTTCAAGATTCTCCCTTTGTGACTTTTGACAGTTTGGTCATGTTGTGCTGCAGTAGGGATCTCTTTAGCTTCATCCTAGTTCGAGTTTTTAGTTTTTTTTTTTTTTTTTAACTTTTCTTTTAGTTGTTGATGGACCTTTATTTTATTCATTTATGTATATGCAGAGCTAAGAATGGAACCCAGCGCCTCAAATGTGCAAGACAAGCACTCCACCACTGAGCCACAACCCCAGCCCACAGTGGGAGTTTTTAAGTTTCAAACTCATATATCCATTTGTTTCTTCAGATTTGTAGCCATTATTTCTACCAACAGACTGATGGAATTTTCTCTTTTTTTCCTTCTTTGGCTCCCAGGATGTGTGTGCTGTTCCACTTAATAAAGTTCCATAAATGCCTTAGGTCTCTTCACTTTTCTTCATTTTCCACACCTCTCCTCTGTGCTGGTGATTTTGAATGACCTGTCTCTTTCAGCTCACCGGCTCTTTATTCTCCCTGGTCAAGGATGCTGTTGAGTTTCCCTAGTGATTTTCTTCAATTCAGTTTTTGTATTCTTCAGTTCCAGCATTTGTTTGTTTTTTCTTCATCATTTCCATCTCTTTGTCAATATTATCATTTGGTCCATGCACTGTTTTCCTGATTGTGTTTAGTGGC